TACAGAGCTATAGTAACAAAAATTGCACAGTACTGGCATAAAAACAGACACATAGGCCAGTGATACAGAATAGAAGACACAGAGACTAAGGTGCCAAAATAATATGTTGGAGAAAAGACAGTCTTTTAAATGAATGATGCTGGGAAAACTGATTATGCATATGTAGAGGGAGAGATTAGTCCATATCTTTCACCCTGAACTCAGAGTGGATCAAAGAACTAGAAATTAGACTAGAAATACTGCAACTTCTAGAAGAAACCACAGGGCAAACCCACCAAAATATTAGTGCAGGCATTGACTTCCTTGATAAGACCCCTAATACTCAAGAAATAAAACCAAGGGCTGGGGGGCTGGGGTTGTAGCTCAGTGGTAGAGCACTTCATTAGCATGTTCGAGGCACTGGGTTTGATCCTATGCACCACATAAAAACAAATAAATAAATAGAATAAAAGTATTGTATCCATCTATAAACAACAACAATAACAACAACAACAACAACAAAATTAAAACAAACAAACAAACACCAAGGGCTGGGGTTGTGGCTCAGGGTGGAGTGCTTGCCTTCACATGTGAGGCACTGGGTTTGATTCTCAGCACCATGTAAATAAATAAATAAAGAAAAAAAGAAAGAAAGAAAGAAAGAAAAAAGAAAGAAAGAAATTGTGTCCATTTACAACTAAAAATATTAAAAAAAGAAATTAAACCAAGAATCAAAAAATGGGATGGAATCAAATTACAAAGCTTTTGCATAGCAAAGGAAACAATAAAGAGTGTGAAGAGAAGCCTACAGAATGGGAGAAAATCTTTGCTAGCTACTCTCTGACAGGGGATTAATATCCAGAATATATATAAAAAATTCAAAAAGCCTCTAACCCCCCCAATAATCCAATTAATAAATGGACAAATAAACTAAATAGACACTTCTCAAAAGAAGAAATACAAATGGTCAACAAATATATGAAAAAATATCCAACATCTTTAGCAATTAGGGAGATGCAAATTAAAACTTCACTGAGATTTCATTTTACTCCAGTTACAATGGCAGCCAGTGAGAATACAAAAAATAACAGATGCTGGAAAGGATATCAGGGCAACGTTGTTAGTGGTGTTGTAAATTAGTATAACTGCTATGGAAATCAGTATGAAGCTTCCTCAAAAGATTAGGAATGGAATCACCATTTGACCCAGCTATACCTCTCCTCAGAATGTATCCTAAAGAATTAACACATGCATACTCATGATTATAGTAGCATAATTCACATAAGCCAAATTATGGAACCAGTCTAGGTGTCTCCATCAACAGATGAATGGAAAAAGAAAATGTGGTCTACATACCCAGTGGACTTGTATTCAGTCATAAAGAAGAATGAAATTATGTAATTTGCAGGAAAATAATGGTACTTGAAAGCATGATGTTAAGTGAAATAAGCCACATTCAGAAAGCCAAGGGTCATATGTGGAAGCAAGAGAGATAAAAGAGGGGGCGGGGGAAAGCAAGCAAGCAAGCAAGGGTCCATAGAACCAGCCAGATTTCTCTAAGAATGGAGGTGTCTAGTCCAGTTAGGAGGTAATTTTGGGATAAGCCTGTTCAAGACCTTAAAAAAAGGCTCCAGGGGAAGTTGCTTACCCACAAAGCACCAGACCGCAAACCGGATCCATGTGATGGTGGAGAGCTTTAGCATGAGATAGATGTTCACCAGCATGGCAAAGGCAGGCACAAAGGGGAGGCAAGGCGCCATGTAGGGCAGCTTCTTGGGGTTCTCTGGCTGCTGCAGGATCACAAACACCAGGGCGCTGATCAGCAGCACCATCAGAACAACCAGAAGGATGGCCCACCAGCTCTGCTCTGAGATGTAGTCAGAACCAAAGATGATGAAGGAGCAGAAGATGAACATGAGGATGAAGAGCAGGAGCACGCAGATGGTCACCGTGTGCCCTGTTGCTGCTGTGGGCCGGTCCATCTTGCCTGGAAGGCCCAGTCGGATTCTCAAGGTGTAGTAACGGGGCCCAATCAGCTTCTTCAACTTGATGAGATAAATGTTTTCAGATTCATCAGCTTCTATGCCTGTGGTCATGTCCACGGTGCCATAGTTGGGGTGGTTGACATTGTAGGTGGACTTGTCTGATTTCCCAATGAGCATCTCATTGTCTCCCAAAGATGGTAGGTTTTTGGCCCCACATGTATTGGTGGCTGGGCTGGAAAACTCTTCCCCTTCACTCACAGGAGAACAGGTTTCCTTCTCACATTCGGCCAGAATGCCCTCCTTCTTCTTGGTGTGCTCCTCAGACAAGAACTTGACAAAACCATCAATGTCACTCTCTGGTTGGTATCGAAGGAGCAAGACACAGACGGAGACCAAGGTGTAGGCAAGGAGTGTGCCGATGGACATCATCTCTATCAGGTCTCTCAGGCTCACCAGCAGCGAGAGCAGGGCTGCCAGGAACCCTGACACAATGCAGGCCACCACTGGAGTCTCTGTGTAGGAGCTTACGTGAGCCAGGAACCTGGAGCAGAGGAGCAAGCGGAGAGTTAATGGTATGCCACACAGGTGGTGACTGATTCTAGCATGGCCAATGTAGGGGACCAGAGTGTTTGTAGGTTTGTGTGGTTAGCTCCTCCTCCTGCCCTTCCAATTTACTTGTGCACAATGCCTGAATTCTAATTGCTATTTCTACTTTATGGGTTGGGTCCTGGAGTGTCATTTAGAGAGAATTCACTTTAATTCCTTGATTTTGAGGCAAATGTCTTCATTAAATTTTCTATTCACTATGAGACAAAGAAGGCTGATGGAATCTAGGAGGTCTGGGGAGATCTAAATTAGAGCCCAAGGCTTTGCTGGGAAAAAGGGATGGTTAGAGGAAGTCATGCAACTGCTTGGGAATCCCCCAAACCTGTGGGTTTGCAGCATCAGCATCATCTTTAGCTTGTTAGAAGTAGATATTGTCAGGTTTTACCCAAGATCTGCTACCTCAGAATCTCTCAGGGTGGTGCTCAGCAAATTGCTCTTTAAAAGACATCTAAAGGGTTCTGGAGCTTGCGAAACACTGCCTTGCAATAAAAGAACAGAAGTGTAGCTGGACAAATAGCACAATAATCAAGAACCTGTGCTCAGAGATACAGGTTCAAGTTTAGCTAGTTACTCCCTAAAGAAGAGAAGACCAACAGGGCCATCAATGACAGGCACTTCTGTTGCAGTTCCTATAGGATGAAGGAGGCTCCCTCTTCCTCTCTCTCCTTCTGGTCCTGCCTCCTTCATTCTCTGTCATTTCTCCCTTATTTTCATGATTCACACAGAACTATAAATTTGCCCAAAGTCCTTGCATCTTCCCTCTTTGTTTTCTTTGACAGCATAAAAACATTTTGGATGTATGACATGTTCACTCCTCCATCAATGAAAGCCCTTCTTCTTCCTTTTCTTTTCTTTCTTTCTTATTATTATTTTTTAATTTGTTCTTTTTTTAAAAAATTTTTAAGTCATTGATAGACCTTTATTTTATTTATTTATATGTGGTGCTGAGAATCAAACCCAGTGCCTCTCACATGCCAGGCAAGTGTGCTACTGCTGAGCCCCAGCCCCAGCCCCTTAATTTGTTCTTTTTAGTTATACATGATAGTAGAATGTATTTTGACATATTATAAATACATGGAGTATGACTTCCCATTCTTATGATTGTACATGGTGTGGAGTTACACTGGTTGTGTATTCATACAGGAACATAGAAAAATTATGTCTGATTCAGTCTACTGTCTTTCCCATCCTTATCCTCCCATTCTCTTCATTCCCCTTTGTCTAATCCAATGAACTTCTATTATTCCCCCCCCTCCATATTAACTTCAGCATGTTGGACAACATTTGGTCTTTGGTAAGCCCTTCTTGATCTGCTTACCAACCCAAATATGGAGCAGATGACAGTTGGTGGTAGAGATAAAGTCCCTGGGGCAGCTCTGTCTGCACTCCTGAGAGTTCTTTAGCTTCCCATGGTGGGCCTGGGGACCAAGTGACAGGGCCACATCCCTTTATACCCTGGGCAGATAGGCCAATTCATTGCCAATGTAGGGGACTAGAACTATCTATATGTTAGTAGTTAAGAGTTTGGCTTTGGGAGTTAGAAACTTCTGGGTTCAAATCCTAGCCTGCCACTCAGTGAATCAGAGATTTGAGGTAAGATTTGTTTTTTAATATAATTCCTAGTAATTTTAATACTAATTCCTAGTATGCCCACTTGCAAAACAGAGTTGTTGTGAGAACTAAATGGGATACTATACACAAAGCACCTGGGAAAGTCCAACAATAGTAGCTATTGTTGCTACAGTTACTAGATTCTGTTGTGAGGATTTTATCTTCTTTCTGATTGTTGATTGATTTTTTTTTTAACTTCAGTGGAGCTGTGAAGATAGGGACAGGCAGCTGGTCTCAATATGAGGGCAGGTCTAAAATGTCCCCTGGGCAGGTTCTTCCCTTTGGAGCCCCACCCACACCCTTTCCTCTAGTCCTTTGTATAGTGATTTGACACTCACCATCTTCACAAGGGGGATACAATGTCAAAGAGAGAAGGGCAGGTGAGGGAACAGGTCCATTAGTACCAGTTAGTACCAGACTGAGGGACCCTGAGTCACTCTGAGGGACTGTTTTAGGGCCTGAGCTCTTTAGACTCAAACTCTCTCTCAGGATATATAACAAGGTCCACAGTGTATGTGAAAAGCACTTATCAGAATTCTGTCCAGTTGACAGTGGGTGACAGTCTTCCTTGAAAGACACAGGACAGCAGAGGACATTTCACAGAGCATAGCCCTTACCTGAAAAGGAGCCCATCACCAGCCATGGCATAAATGACCCTTGGCATTGGGAAGAGGGAGCCCAGCAAGCTGACTGTCAGTCCTGCAACCGACCCAATAGCTACTACAAATTTTGCAGCATAGAAACCGTGAGCCACAAACATCTCCATGAGTGGGGATTCTGTGTCAATGGCGTAATATGGCACCATCAGAGTTAAGATCATGCTCACCTGTGAAAAGAAGAGAAGATATGGCTGGAGGTGGAGGAACTGACAGCATGGTAGATGGCCTGCAGGAGAAGAGGTCCTCTGGACCTGAAGGCAGAGCCTTGCACAGCAGTTTGGATCTACCACTGATTGGCATGTGGCTTTATTTTAGATCAGTTATTCAGCCTCTGTATACCTTATCTGTATTCCTTTTACTCCAAACACCCAAGATCAAAACTCCAAAGGTAAGCTCCTAGGAGGCCCATAACCAATTAACAAATGGGACCACAGTGAAGACTCATATTTCCATTTCCTCTCTCTAGCTCAGTTCTGGGGGGTCATGCAAGCCAAGGAAGACATTATGGCATCAAGATGGAATCCAGCCCTACCTTGGTTAAGACCACTATGGCTTTGCTTAACCAGGGAATACTTGGCTGGAGGCTCCAGGACCTATCTTCCTTCACATGGCATAGATCTGCCATGACATTGGTCTTTCAGAATTGGCTCAACAAAATGGAGCCACCGGTCAGAGATCAGATATGAGTTCCCTCAGGCCTGTGAAGACCAATCCTGAACTAAAGGAGTTCAAAGCCTGAAAGGGAGAGGGTAGTCATAGGTAGACCGTTTCTTTGCCAGGTCCCCAGGAGCCAAGATCCTCTACTGAAAATATGAGATACTAGGGAAGATAGCAAGATGTATCATCATAGTCTAGCAATTTGGGTTTTACCACAGTGATGGGGCCTGCTGACCAGTACAAGAGCAAGCAGCTCCCGAGGCAAAGCTAAAGCCCACATAGTCTAAAATAGAATGCTTCCCAGGGATACCACCACTTGCTACATTCCCTTTGGGGATGGGGTAGGGTTGGATTACAGCAAGGCACATTGAGTCTCCTGGCCATGTTAGATCAGGATGAGCAAAAATTTGGTAGAGGCAGAGACTCGTTCTATAGTCTATAACATTGCTTTTCTAAGAAAGGAACTGTGAGTATTGACTTTTTGTGTGTGTGCTGCCAAGGATCATTCTGGAGAAGGGGAGGCATGAGGAAGGGGCAGAAAGCAAATGTAGAGCAGGGTGTCTCTGCTGCCCCTACTACCCTGCCACCCCTCCCTCAATATTCTGCCCTCAGGAATAATTAAAGTGCAGATAGGATGAAGCTGCTTGCACCTGTGTGTATAGAGGGAGGTGATAAATTGACCCATGCATAAAACATATGTCTGGGCAACTAAATTGCTCTCAACCATATCTAAGGATGCTCTCCTGTTTTTGTTTGGCTTCTAGGACAATCCTGTTTTTGCAGATTGCCTTAACCATGAATAGGTCAGACTTTCTTAGTTGGTTGCAAAAGATGATTTTTTTTTTTTGGAATGAGGAATGGCAGGGCTGGCAGGCTGCACCCCCAGCTGCTAGCTCTTTCCTAATCATGACCCAAGTCAGTAGGACCCTCAGGACGTTGGAGCATTTGTGTGACCCCACACTTGATGGCTCAGCAGCCATCAGGCTCTCTCTGTTGCCAGGCGCTGAGGGGATATTGGATATTTCTGTGATAGAAATTGGAAGTGGGAGCTGGAAGATGAAACATCAAAGGTGTACGAGGAGCGTCTCAGGGGTCCTGAAAGAGGAGACTGAGGGCTTTACTCTGAGAGACATCTTAGGCAGGGAAACCCCAAGGATGGATTTGAGCTAGTGTGAAAAGATGGGGCAATAGACGAAAGAAATTGCATCTCCCCCATCCTAGGATGAAGGGGAAGAGAGTCTCCAGAGGACAATGGATTCTCTCTCCCCATTGCGGGAGCCTCGCCTCTTTGCTGCCGGGAAGCTCCCAGTAGACAGAGGAGCATTGAGGGCTATGCACAGAGGCCACAGTGGCTCTGCTCACACACCACCCGTTACTGCCAGCCTATGACCTGAGCTCCTTGGACGGCAGCCCACTCCCTGCACACCATGCCCTGGGACAGCGGCAGGAACTGCGAGCCTGGGTGTAGCGGGGGATGAGGGTGGGGGACTCCAGAGGTGAAGGCTGAAAGGGCCTGGGGCTGCTCCTCTCCTGAGGGGAGTCCTGAGTTTCTTCTTGATGTCTTGGCATCCAAATGCCCAGAAGGCAGAAGGCAAGGCCTACTTCCTGACAGAGGAGGGGACACAGTCCTAGAGCCACATTTTCAGGTTAAATATAAAAAGTCCAGGAGAAGGGTCCGTTCAACATTTGGTACTCACAGACACGTAGGCTGTCAAGCAGATGACCAGGGAGGCAGTGATAGCGTAAGGGATGGACGTGTTGGGATTCTTGGCTTCCTCTCCGGTGGTGGCAATGATGTCAAAGCCAATGAAAGCATAGAAACATGTGGCCGCTCCTTGCAGCACCTGTAGGGATAATGACATCTGTCAGGCTCAGGAGTTTAGGGCAGCACCAGGGCCTTCAATGTGGCGCCCACAGTGGCCCAATGTCCTGCAGAAGTCACTGAGTAGAGGAGGGAGTAACATGGTAGAGCTGGCACTGAACACCCAAGTTCTGATCTCCTCTGCATTCTCTCTGTGTGACTGAGCAATTTCCTCAGGTGTTAAATGGAGATAAGAATTTTTTATGGCCAAATAAAAATTGGATCATTTAACACATTTGAATCCTTTTTTTGGAAGCAAGTAGGAGTATATCAGTAAATCAATATATCGGGTATCTATGTCTTAGGGAACTCATTAGCTTTTATTTTCCTCCAACAGTTCTCAACCACAGCCATGGACTATGTGGCTTAAGGATGTTTGGTGAGGGAGGGAGCTTCTGACATTTAGTGGAGGGGACTCAGGTACTTCTGCACAAAGAAGAATTTTCCTGCCCCATGTCACGTTAGTGTCCCTGATAGATGATCTCTGTGAGTAACTTCCAGATCTGAAATGATATAAAAGATTTTTCAGATCTTTAGATGTTCTGTTGCCTTCAAAGGGAAAACAGTAGAGACAGAGTTTGATTTTCTGTTCCTTTTGGAGGTTTAATTGACCTAGCTGGGCATGAGGCAGGAGGTCAGAGTGAAGCTGGGGAGTGGGCATTCAGCCACATCTGCTGCATGTCTGTCTGCCAGAGCCTGTGAGCCTCCAAGGGTGGTGGGGTCTATGTTTAGACGTCAGTGAAAATTTTCCACTGAGGAGTGTGTGACTTCCTTCTAAAGAATCTATTGAAATTTAAATGAGGTTTCCCCATCTCAGTATTTTCATTATTAGCTGGAAGTAAAAAAATCTTCCTCTGGATACTTGGAGGATCTTGTAGGGGAAGATGAGAGATTTTTTTTTTTTGGACTTGTGTGACAATGAGGGGAAAAGCTGCAACCTCTAGAGGGGTCCAGGAAGTGAGGTCCCTTGTAGACTGGAATATTTCCCCTGCTTTTTCTCTACATTCAACTTATAAATGATGTCATTCAAAGCCGAGCAGATGCTTGTCTAAAATTTTTGCTCTTACCTTACACACTAACTTCTTCATATGGAAAAACCAAGATACTAGATACTAGAACCTACAAGGTATATCAAAAAATTGAAGAGCTTCTTAAACCTTCAAAAACAACCTTTGCTCATCTGTAAAATGAGCTAGTATCTTCTACAGTCCCTCCCAACTGAGATTCTAATGTTTCCATCCCTAGCCTAGCTAGGGGTTCTTACCCTCAGGTCAGGGACATTTAGGGGCTCTGCTGGGAAAGAGTTATATTTTTATTTTCAATAATTTCCAACTGGATATTAGCATTTCTTTCCACCATGAATGCAGGTGACTCAGCGTACCTGTGATTTCTGTCACCAATAACAATTTGATATAATAATAGATATTAGTATTTAAAGCACTAATTAAGAAGCACATTATTATTATATCACAATTAAAAAATATTTATTACTCTATATTAATATGATTGATTTACCTTGAATTACTGCATAATTGGGTTCTTCATTGAAAATCCTAATTTTCATAAGGTGTCCATAAGCCTCATCAAACTGCAAAGGGGTCTATGGCACAAAAATTTAAGAACTCCTGACTATTCTAGTAAGTCAGGCAAAAACAACTTCCCAAACATAAGTGGTTCCATCTTTCGGGTGCTACTTTCTGGGAAGCAAGAGAACTACTTTGCCTCCTGAAAAACCTTTCATGTCAGGGTATGGAAAGTGGATTTGGCTGCCAGACAAGGAGAGAAAACAGATTTCACCTCCCTATCCAGGGAGATTCACAGTCTTGAAATGGTGCTGGCTTTCACTTGTCTAGAACACATCACTGGTATTCAAGGATGAACAGATGATGGGACTGCAGGCTCACTAGGTTATCCTGAGCAAGCCAAGCCTCACTTTAAGACAGCTTCCAGAAAACAGGTCTTGCTTTCCTTTCCTTTAGCATCTTTCTTCCCTTCCACAGAGGAAGACAGGCACATTCCACAGAGGAAGACAGACACTCAGCCATGGGCACATCCCACTCTTGTAAATCACATGGTACCTGGCACAGTAGCAGGTGAATTTGAATAATATCCTTAGAAAAAGGCAAGAGGTCTATGAACCACAATACGTGAGGCATAATGGGGGACCCAGGGATGTGTAACCTGAAGAACGGGAGGCTCTGTAGAAAGCATGGATACCTACAGATTTCTGAAGTACCAGAAGTATCACAGCTGAGGTGGAGGTGCCCTGTAGGCTCCAGAGGGGACTCCAGAACCATGAATTTGTGGATTTGTGTTTATTAGAACAGTAGACCTTGTAGACTGTCAGACCTAGGCTGGTTCTGCCACATATTAGCTTGATGATATAGAACAGATTCCTAACCTTAAGTTTATTTATCACTAAAAGGGAGATAGTAATAACACATAGTTTAATTTCATTGAATATTGATTTTTACCACCATTACTATAATTACTATTGTAAATTTTTTTAGAGCAGATAAAACCCAAGAGAACAAATTCCTTCTCCTTCCTATCTTTTTCTTTCTCCTCCTCTTCTTATTCTACTCTCTTTCATTTAGAACTCTCTCTATTTCCATATAT